TTGTCTTCTGTTGTTACAACAGTGGTTACTGTTTATCAAGAAGCTGAAAAGTCTTCACATTGCTAGATACAATAAGATAGTCTTAAGCTCACTTAGTAGGCACTCTAATTCTTTGTTTACAAGACTTGTGCTGACAGGTAAGCGTCCTCTGAACAAAGGAGATTATTATATAGGAAAACTGCTTTAAGATATCATTGAAAATTACCACCGCCATAACAATACACTAAGGTTGCTATAGTTTCTCTTTAAACAAATGTAAATGACCGTATCAGTTTTCTTCTCTATTCTTGTTACAGTAAGTAAAACAACAATAGTAATAATGATAAAGGTTTCAGTGTTGAAAAGATTTCTCCTTTACATCATTTAAATTAACCGGTTTGAAAGTTGAAAGATCAAATATTTACGACTAGAGAAAAACTTCTATCAAAAAAAACAACCAAAAACAAAAGAAACAAACACAAATTACCTTTATCATAAAACTCGTCCAAAAAATATTTCAAACTCTGAAAATGTCATTTGACCTCATTTTTGTTTCAGTTGAATATTTATTTGATAAGGTTCAAAATGTAATAAAATATCAACATAAAAAGAATTATGATATATACTAACTACATCATCAGAGTAGAATGGCAATGCTGTTGTTGAATTCATGTTTTTCTGTTGTTTTCCATTTCGTTCAAAATAATTGTAAATAAAAAGCTAAAAACAAAACTGATAATTAAAATGGCAAAACCTTTGAAATCTGATTTATGTTTCTCAGTTTTGGTTTTCTCTTTTTTACCTCAACCTTTCTTTTTAAACGTGAAGCAACTTTAACCTCTGAATTTTACTGACCTTTACTAATTAGATAGAAATGTTGATGCATATATAAATTACCAAGAACCTTTGGTAAATAATAATGGGGAAACATTGATCATGGAGTGAAATATATATTTAAACTAAAATATATATTCGTAGTAATCAAAGATCATCATATAACTACACTAATAAATAATTCCTTAAGTAGGTAGGTTACGTAACCTTCAAATTTCAACTATTTCGTATACATATCTGAATAGGTTTTATACTCATAAAAAGAGGAAGACTATATAGTGCTCATTTTGATTTCGTTATATTCTCTGAGATGACTGATTAAATTGTGGAGCTTTCACTTTTTTCATCTAGACAACATCTTCAGTGCTCACTTCAGTGTGGAATTAGGTTCTCTGAATACTCTGTGAATTATGTAGGCGCTTCTCAGAATGACCTGGGCTGTGGCTGATTATTTTCCTTATGTTAATCTGTATTGAAATCAGCCGCTTTATTTAGCTGACATTTGATCTAAAGGTGCACAGAGTTCATTGGAAAAACAATTTTTTGAACGTGTACCGAAAATCCTATGTCTCAAGAGAACATATGCTTTTGGCAGCGCTACTGCTAGGCATCTACTTGACACGGGTCATGAAGTCGACGTCGTAAGATCCTTCAAAATTATTGATAGGCGAAAGAGTTCAATTCTCCTCAAGTTTGCCGAGACAATGTCCGCCGAGCACCTGAAACCCAATTAATGTGTTCAGAAAGAAGTGGTTATCAGTCTTTTCTTACCCTGGGAAGTAGATGTCTTAGTTTTCTACTTCACTTGATTACGTAACGCTGAAAACTCCATCCTGTATGATGATTATCGTTTGGGATAAAGTGATTATTATTATCATTGTATGCATATACTGATTCTTGTTTAAAAATCAATTCTCTGTGTAAGTATGTTAAAATTGTTTCTGTACATAAACTTAATAATGTCTTTGGTCTGTAAGCAGCTGATGAGAAGCTAACGAAGTAAATAGGGGTACCATTTTATTCTGAACAAATTGCTGTTCTTGCTTTATTCGAGTTAAAAATAATCCGAGTACCAGGCTTCTGGGAATTCTTTGGTATTTTAATATTTCTTTTTAAAACGTATACATTTTCCGAGTAAAACGAGTGTCCATATTTGTTTGCTTGCATTGATATGAAGGAATACATGTCGTATCTTTGACAGCTAGTCTATATTGATCTTATCTTCATCCGTTGTTTAGCCTTTTGGTCTGCATAGCATTGAATGAAGTGACTGTGTTGGTTTGTGTGAGATATCTATTTCAAATGGTTTCAATATTCTACCTATTATTTCAGAAATATTTTCCACATATGTTAGAATGAACCGTCTTGCGGTTTCTGAAGACTGACGAGGGGACAAATTACATGAAATTATCCATAAACTTTTAAAACGGAACCATCCTTCATCTCTTTACAAGACCTTAACAACTTCAGTAAATAAAGTGACTAAAATTTAGCTGAAATCTAAAAGACTTTTAAAATGCTGAATTAGATGTTAGCACTGGGGAAAAAGGGTCAGTTTGAAAAAAGACTAACTGCAGTGAATTATATCAGAGTAATCGAAATGATTTAGAATTTCTCCCTCTGTTCGATGAGATAAAATAAAGGCTACACATCGATTTCTGTGTCACGTAACTCATGATCCGCTTTACTTATTCGTATCATAGAGAAACATTTAGATAACTAGATGATGGATGGTCTAGTCAACATCATTAACACTATCTGTGCGTTGGTGGCATAGCGGTTATGACTCTCGCCTACCATGCACATGGTCCGGGGTTCGATCCCCTGCCGACGCACACCCGATATCTATGGTCGGCCTGCAAAATTTAGGCTACCGATATCACATGCTGAAAATCCCATACTTGTACCAGAAAATACGGTGTGGAATCAAACTGTAATCAAAAATAAATAAAAAATAAACGTTCATGTCAAAAATGCCTACTACATGTCTGTATGAATAAAACACCTCGACAATTAAATCTGTTCATAAATTAGTATTCAGTGACAGTTGAGACATATTAAAACTTCAACAGGATGAGGGTAGAAATTGTTTGATATTTTAAAAGATCCGCTATTTGATTGTAGACGTTTCAACACAAGACTTATTAACTTCTTGATAAGGTTTGTCCTGAAGACGTCACCAAGCATGGTGATAAAACTCTAATGATCAAATACCGAAGCTCAAAGATTATGCAATAACATACAATAAAGATTTCTTTGATTTAACTTAACAGTCATGTCATCCAGTGTGGAAAAGTAAACGACAGTTGAAAGTATTGAAACTGAGCCGATCACTGCACAAAGCTGTATGAAATTGAATCGGTTGAAACTGTTCCGACTTCTAGTAACCCATTGAAAAATTTATCATACTTAATTAACAAAATCGTATAGAAGAGGAAAGAGTATGAATAAATTAGGTTTAGTGAACATAGCAAAACTTTGGAAAATAACATGGAGTAATAAATTAAAAGCCATTGTAAAATTAATGTTTAGCCGCACTGTTGATAGCCTTCAATCAATTATTCTCAGTACTTCAATGACTGAAGGCAACTAATCTACTTTCCGCTGCATGACACATACAAACAGAGGAATGTCACGTCTCGATCAGGAGGTATTTCCAAAGTACTGTAACGTACTAGTATACATTTCTGTAGAATTGGAAGTCACCTGAAGGTGCTTAGATACATTGGGAGTTTCTGTATTATAAAACTTGGTGAAACAAACAATTGTACTTAATTCCAATAACAAATCAAATCACGTTTTTATTCTCAGTGGACCTATGTTGGTAGATGTCAATGTACGTAATGATAATGAATAGTACTACATTTTCATCAGACGTATTTAGTTCCTTTTGTTTTCTAAGGAATAAGGTGAAATCCAGTGAATTTAAGCCTTTCATTCTACCTCCGGTCAAAGGTAGATACGACAATAATGAAGATTTTGGTTACAGAATTTCATCATGAGTTGACATCAATTAGAGAAACATTGGAAAACCTGCAAGGAGTAATGGACTTCCTACTTTGGGACTGTTCATCAGTAGTCACTCACCCCAGGGGTTACAAACCCAGGACCTCCTGGTTGAAAGGCTAGCTCATAGACCATTAAGCCACTGGGACCCGATCTAGTGGTCAGTCCATGAATTCTAACTTCTGCCAATTTAAGATACAGTGCAACCACTAGACGCGCCCAACCTTCTGTACCCTGCTGGTCAAGACCATTTTCAAACTTATCGCTGGTAAAAATTGACTCAGCATATGTGAACTAGGTAGACACGGCATTCGATCCTATCTAATTTCAAAATATCCTTTTCCTTCAATTATTCCCAATTTCCCCTTTTGAGGCTAGTGAATCATTGCAAACTACCCTTTCTTAGTCAAGGCATTTTAGTCATATATGACTTACACTTACAGAATCTGTGAATAAAGCTCATTATAGTCACTTGTTGTTTTATATAACATGTCATCCAATCAATATAACGAATTACGCATAATTTACCCCCGTTATTCTTCATTAAACGAAGAAGAAAAAAAAGCAGCATGTTAAATTGACATGATTAAGATTTAATCTGAATTTCACACTTTCCAGTTGTTGTTGTTGTTGTTTTTCTCTCTCTCTCAATTAAATGAACAATAAACAAAATATGGAATATTTGAACAGCTTTCATTTTTGTTTCTGGAATATAACAATATAACAAATCGGTTGGTAATATGTTTACTTCAAATAATAGAAAATAAATCTACAAATCGTTATGAATACACTTTTTAGACAAAGTATTGTTGTTGTGGGTTTTTTTAACAAAAAAGTGCTGAAGATAAAAAAAACCAGTTCATGGAATAGTAAATCAAATTCAGATCTGTGTTTTGTAGAATAATCTAAATAGAAAGTCACCTAATTCAATTAATATCATTATTTATAGATTAAGAAATAAACATTAGACAAATGAATAAAAAGTCAGTATTGATACTAATAATATTTCATTCATATAGCAATATAGGTAGGTAGACAGATAGATAGACAGACAGTAAAATAGATAGACAGATAAACAGATAGACAGATGAGCAGATAGACAGATAAGTAGATAGCAGACAGAAAAATAGGTAGAAAGGTAGATAGACAGATAGACAGAGAGAATAGATAGACAGATAAATGATAGACAGACAGGTAGAAGGAAAGACAGATATCAGACTGACTGCTTCACATTAACAAAGATGCCTTATTATGAGTAATATGACATAGAATTAATACTTCCTCGGATCATGTTTTACACCTTCTGGTAGGCAACTTTTTTCTCCACGTTTATCTGATGAATCTCTAGCTGCACAGCTAGACCAATTGAAATTTCTTGAAGAATCCTCACTTGTATTAACCCAAGCTAAAATGACAAAACAAAACCAAAAAAAGCCATTTCACTTTCAGAAACAATAGAATAGCTAGGAAGTAAATAAATTATACATGATAATAATGTTAATAAAAGACAAAATTATGAATTCATAGATAATTTCCAGACTTTTATTTCACACTACCTTAATAATATGTGAGCATTTGCTATGTTTTAAGATAATACAAAATCCCAACAGCGGCCTGTTTAAATAACTTGGCTGACTAAATTGTTTTATCTATCCAAATGCATTGTACTCACTGTATTTTATAGCATTTTAATAATCCAGTTAAGTAAGTGAATCGTAATCTATACTCACTCACATTTTCAAATAGATTCCAATGTACTGGTATCAACTTTTTTGAAATAAATGGAGAAAAAGCCATTATGGTAGACTGGAACATGCCTCGCATAGAACAATATTGCTTCAGACGATGCATTATCGATTAGATTACTTGAAGATTCTGCACAAGAAGTAATTAGCTTGTAATCAAAACACGCTGAAACTTCTGTATTGTGTTTAAATGCATTTTTCAGAACAAAGCCATAATAATTATTATTGTTGTTTGAACAAAGAAGTAGCGATTCAATATTTATCAGACCACAGTTGTTTACTAGAGTTCCTTACACTCTGGTCACTTATAAAACAAGAGGTTTGCTGATAGCTTCCTTGAAAATTGTTATCCTTTTAGTTAACATGTTGAGTATAATGCCAAACAGTGGCTGGAGATTGTTTATCCTAGCAGAAAGTGGTGGACTGAAGTAAAGCGGAATTCACTACAAACACCTAAAGTTTGAATAACTTCGTTCTATACCCATATCCTTTATATTTTTCTTCCCCTTCATTTTAATACTTTATATTTTTCCCCTGAATTGACTGTTATGCACAAATGAAAAGTTTGTCCATTATCGACTGCCATTTTTGTTCAAGACTTTTATTAATTGCATGGAGGATTTCATCATCAGCTGACATCAGTTAGAGAACCACTGGAAAACCAGCTGGGAGTACTGGACAGCTGTTTCCTCCTAGTTTGGGACTCTTCAGTAGTACGCACCCACCGGGGTTTTGTAGGGATTTTTGTTTGATTGCATGGAGGATTGTAACCAGAAGGTCCTGGGTTCGAACCTCGTCGGGTGCGTACTGATGAAGAGTTCCAAACTAGGATGAAACAGATAGCTGTCCAGTACTCCCAGGTTTTCCGATGGTTCTCTAACTAATGTCAGCTCATGGTGAAATCCTCCACGCAATCAAACAAAAATCCCTACAAAACCAATACTTTTATTAATCTGAAATTAGTCTGTAAATCTATCGCACACTGCATAAAGAAATAATAATTCGGATTTCCAACACCAATGTCAAGTCAATTAATTCTCCTATATGGTTCAGAGACTTGGCTTGTCACTATAAGCATTTCTAACAGCCTGCTGACACAAAAACCGCCTTCGCTATGTGCTCAAAATCAAATGTCCCGAAACGACTAACAACGAAAAACTCTGGGAATGAACTAAGCAATTAACTACTGCCCCAGAAACTATGCTGAAGAAAGCGGAGATGGATCGAATAGATGCCTAGGAGGTAGTTGACTGACATCTCGCAGCAGGACATTGCTTGAGTGGAAGCCGAAAAGGAAACGGCAATTTCGGTGTCCAAGGAGATTTTACAGATCATGTGATGAGGAGAATATAGAATATGGGCAATCGTGGATCCAGTTAAAGAAGATTACAGGTAACATACTGAAGCAGAGATGTGTTGCTAAAGTTCTATGTTCCCATCGGACCTTAGGGAATATTATATACATATATATCTATATATATATATATAGATATATATATAAATTGTGCAATTAGTCATAATAGCAGCAATGATAATATTAATAGTAATAATTATGGTTTTATCAATAATAAGGATGAAAAAATGAGGCAATCTGTGATAACACGAATAATGAAAAACAGCATAATTAAACAAACAAATGTTCAGGTGGAAGTAGTCGATAAAGGCTAGTAAAATCAAATGAGTCGATTAAGTAATGCTAAATTGTAAGGGAAGTAAATGAAACACGTTTTTAATGAAGATGTGATTAGATTAAGGGATGATAAGAGAGGGGTTGAAAATATAAATAAGGGGTGGTGTAGAAGTCATTAGTTGGTTATGTCTTAATAGGCCAGGGGAAGGATAATGGCTGTACGAACCTTTTTTGAATGCATAGTTTAGGTTTAGTAGTTCGAATGCCTATCGCCTCAGCTGTGTGCAGTAAACGAATACGAAGTCTATTCGAAAGATTCGGTGGGATACGATGAATTACTTTGAAGCTCTCGTTTTCTCAACTACATGACCACTATCAATTAAATGTGACAAAACTGAGCTACGGATTGTTTTTGTCTGTCCTTTGCCAAACCACGATGGAAGATGTCAACTAACACGTTGGCTAAGCTGTCTAGTAGTACGCCCAACATGACTGTCACCGCAGGTGCAGTTGAATTGATAAATGCACATAGATGTGGCAAAACTATCTGGCTCATCCTTCATTTGCGTTCCAATCATTCGTCGGCTAGAGAATGACAAACATAGGTATGCTGCATAAAACGTTCTCCGTATACTCCCGGAAAGTCTCTGGAATAAAATCTCAGTTGATTAGTCACCATTAAATTGCAATTTAATAGATAGGCATTCGGACTATTAAACCTAAACTATGCATTCAAAAAAGGTTCGTACAGCCATTATCCTTCCCCTGGCCTATTAAGACATAACCAACTAATGACTTCTACACCACCCCTTATTTATATTTTCAACCCCTCTCTTATCATCCCTTAATCTAATCACATCTTCATTAAAAACGTGTTTCATTTACTTCCCTTACAATTTAGCATTACTTAATCGACTCATTTGATTTTACTAGCCTTTATCGACTACTTCCACCTGAACATTTGTTTGTTTAATTATGCTGTTTTTCATCCTTATTATTGATAAAACCATTATTATTATTAATATATATATATATATATATTTCTGTTGACCTACATGACACTTATAGTCAAAACAATTAATATCGCCTAGCTGAGAATGGACAGAGTTCAAAGTGGTTTCTGCACCAATAAGAAAACTGTCAGAAATCTAGGAATACAATATACTCGTTTTCTTCCATTGTGGATAAATTTTATTTTGACAAAGTCTCACAGTGTTATACAGTAATATTTACTGATGATTTTTCGAGCACATTTATTGCTTATAATCATATCAGGCAATAATAAACTTTATCCACAATGGAATTATACTCTACCACAGTGCACATGTTCCATTCCTTTATTAGCGATACGTTCGGTCTTCCTACTAGGAAGCTAATCAACAAACTCACACGACTTTGTCAAACAGAAGCAAGATTGGTTTTAGGATTTCATTATGAGTTGACATTGGTTAGAGGACAATTGGAAAACCAGCTGGGAGTACTGGACAGCCAGATCTTTCGTTCTAGTCTGGGACTCTACACCAGTACGCACCCACCGGGGTTCGAACTCGGGACCTTCTGGTTACAAGGCGAGCTCATAGACCATCAGGGCACTGAGACTCAATCCAGTGGTCAGTCCATTAAGTCACGACATAGCACGACCGCTAGCCAATGTCAGCTCATGATGAAATCCTGTAACCAATCAATCAAATCCCTACAAACCAACACTTGAGAAACAAGGTTCACAAACCATCAGACTTTCAAGAGTTAATATTTAAAAAATCATATCATTCCTAAATACTCACGCCTACTTACTGCAATTACTTCAAGAAAAATAACATCAACAGCGGAATATGTCAGCAGATGATGTCTGAGCGAAGAACTACGTCGAGTTATTATGAAACCAAACTACACTCGTTTTCTATTACTTCACTACTACAACTTGAAATATGTTGGACGACATTCAATCTGTCCAATACAGCATGTGGTTAATGAAGTGCTAATAACAGTTTTCATGATAAGTAGCAAATAGTTATACAGTGCTGCTTGGTTTTTCACGACCTCCTAAATACACGTAGTCTATAACAAGAACCATATTCTCTGATATACTTTTTGTAACTGAAAAAAATTTTCTGAACTGCTTAAAATAAATGATGAATATTCACTTTTTTATACTTTTAAACTTTCTAAAAACCATGCACTCTATATACATGCTGGAAAAAAAAGAGGAAATATTGCTAACTTAGATTTTTATACCTTATCTAAACATTGCGATCGTATTACATGATCAAGACAACGACAACAACAGCAGCAAAAAATCACTTTTCTGTTTTAATTTGCTTTTCGTTCTCTCTCTCTTCTTCCTCTCAAGGACAATTGAAAAAGAAGCGGGAAAAAAAGTTAACAGATGCACACCAGAGACAAAGTTATTCCTGATTGGTTAAAATAAATTAACCTAGATACCATACACATATTTTCTAATAGGTTTACTTCCCTTGAATGAAGTCTTTTATAGCAACCTCGGAGTTAATTTCTTCAATAAGTTTAAGTTAAAATATACACACTGTTGGAAGTACACATACATGTGTATATAATGTTGTATAGGTTAATTAGAAATTATTTAAAATAATTTTTTTTTTAAAAAAAGAGACATGTATAGACAATAATTCCATCTGTAGGAATTCTTGTATGTCGATAGATAAAGTATCTGTAAGGTAGCTTAAAGCAGCATGAATCATTGGAATGTAGATAATGTGTCAGTTTGTTTAACAAACTATTTTTTTAAAAGTATATAAATGCTATGTTGCACAACATTTAATTGGAACGATCTTTTTTTCAATTATATCTTCCATGAATTCAAATCATAAGAAAGATTTAAAAATATATTTAAAGAAATAAACCGTGGTGACAATATGTTACTAACATACATCAGTTACAGAACCACTGAAGATTACATAACACTAGACAACTAACTGTCTCTTCCTAGTTTGAGACTCTTTGGAAGTTGAATGGTCAGCAGGTTTGCTTTGCAATCCCAAGTGCTTGGATCGC